CTGGCCTGGGACACAGCTCTCAAGGGCTGAGAGCTTGAAACTCCTTGGTAGACCACAGAGGCATCAAGGATTCTACAGGAGAGAAAGAAGCGTCAGCAACACAGGTGGGGGCTGTGAGCTTCCTGAGAACGGGGGCTCACCTTGTGGGCTCTGGTCTGGAGAGGGGACGCTGCAGAGCACGGGCCTGGGAAGGAAACCTAGACTGCAATCTCCGCTCTCCCCCTTCTTGGACGTGGGGCCCAGCAGTAAGCGAAGGCCTGGGCCTCGGTCTCCTCCTATGTGAAATGGGAGTGCTACCCTGACTCCCCCCACAGGGTGGTGGTGAAGGTGAGTCATTCTCTCAGCCTGGCCCCTCACACTTACTTTTGCCTAGTACACAGGAGCTATTATTGTACTAGTGTTGAATTGTACCCCAAACACGCCCCTGGGTTCTTCAGGGAACCGCCATATAACGAGCCTGTGAGAAACAGCAGGTCCCAGAATCCCAGGCCAGGAGGCGAGAAGGGGAGGGGTGGGGATCAGCTGGGGCTCCAAAGGTAAGGCCACACTTGCAGCCCTGAGAGTGAGGGGCTCCTTCAATCTGCCCGCAGACACCTTGCCCACTGTCCCCAGTCCTGGCCCTGGCCCCAAACAGTTTTCACCTTTGCTGGTCGCTCTTTCTGAATTCCTCCCTGAACAGGAGTCACGGGGAGAGCCTCCCGCGGTTTGAAGGTGCAGGATCATCCCTCAGAGCTGAGCCTGTCATCCACCAAGTGCCTCTCTCTCCCCACTTTCCCCTGCCTTTAGGTGCAGGTTTGCTCCTTCAGCACATCCTCCTCACAGCCCACGCAGAAATGGTGTCACTCTTCTTTGTGACCAGAAAGTATCTGAGGCCCAGACGGGGCGAGCAGCCAGGCAAAGGTTCCTTGACAGTTACCGCGGAAGCCTGTGCCCTCCCGCCAGCGCGCCCTGGGTGGGACGGCCCAGCCCCCAGCGGCGGACCCCGCAGAGCAGGGCAGAGGTCAGGCCAGAGAGCAGCTCTGCGGTGGCTCCTCGTCTTCGTTCTGGTGCCGCCATAGTGAATTTGTTCCCATCCAAGCTTTCCCTGTGTGGATGAGGAACGCCCCCGCCATATCAAGTAAACAGAGGATGTTGCGGCAATCAAGCCACCAGCCACTGCAGCCTCCTCCGACTGTGCACCCAGAGGGGACTCCGGATGGAGAACAGCAGGACACTGGCCCTAGAGAGCTGAGGTGCGGCTCAGAGGAATGATTTCAGTGAGCCCCGTCTCTTGCATCTTCCCACATACAGAAAAGCACAAAATTCACTAACTTGAGATGTCTGGGTTTTCGGTAGCGGTAATCTTTTGAAGTTCAGCCTGTCAGGTTTTTGTTGTAATCCCCCACGTATCCTACCCCCTCCCTTACCCCTTAGGAGGTGTCCCTCAGAGCGACTGCGAGGCTGTGCTGGGGGAGGCCCTCAACCCATCCGCCAAGTAAACATCACTCCCAACTTTTGGGTTGTGCAGGGTTTTTCCCAGTGGACGCCTGACCCCAGCCCCTGGAGCTGAGCAGCTTCCGGGTCTTCCTGCGGGGTGGGGGAGACCTTTGCTAATCACAGGAGTCTTCGGGGTGGAGGGGAGGAGGCTGGTTTTGGGCTTGTCCGGTGGGCTGAGGGGATGGGGTGTCGCCCCACCCACAGAGCCCTCCCCGGGAGGGCCACTCATGGGTCTACTTGACCTGAGCCCCCACCTCCGCCCCGGTTCCATTCTGGGGAAATGCAGTGAGCTGAGCTCCAGAGAGGGCTTGAATCTGACGAGGACACTCAGGAAAGGAGGAAGAAGACATGGCTCTGCTTGGGGAGGGAGATTTGGGGGAAGCTGTGGGGCTTAGAATGCTTGACAATCCCTGGATGTTCCGAGTGAAACTACAGCAGGATTTGAAGCAGCCGGTTATCAGCGTTTGTGTTCAGAAGACCAGGGGTTAAGGGACCTGCTAGGTTCAAAGCATTGCACAGCTTTGCTCAGCTTTGGCTGACTCGGGGCTGTTCGGGCAGTGGCTCTGCATTTGTGCAGTCAGGAGAGCCGAATAAAGCCGAGGTCCTGAGCCTGAGTGTCTGATGCAGTAGGTCTGCCTGGAACCCCAGAATCTGCGCTGCCCGCAAGCTCCCAAGGGTGTGGTGGAGGGCATACCTGGAGGGCCTCCAGGGGGCTGCAGCTGGGAGCCAGTGGTGCTGGGGTTGCCCCAGGCAGTGGCAAGCCTAGTGTTTGGTTTCCTTTCTGACCAGAAGCCCTGGGACTATCTCAGGAGTTTCGTTTCTCAGCGGCTGGGGGCTGAGGGAGGGAGGAGCGAGGGGCGGTGCTGAAGCTGCTTAAAGGTAAGGAGCAGCGGGCCCCTGGCGCTGGTCACAGCACAGGGAGCTGACCGGTAAGTGTCGCGCTTCTTGCTCTGGGCACCGTCTGGCCATTCAGGGGGCTCGGGGCATTTGGGGGACTGGCTGCGGAGATGAACGCTTGGGGTATAATAGTACAAATGCTCAAGATTCATAGTGATGATGTCACGATGGTGATGATAGTAACGGAAATAACATTAATGACGATGCTGGCAGGGCTCAGAGCACTCCTGATTCAACTTTCCCACCAACAGGATGCTCAGGCTCCTGGGAGACACATCGAAAAGCACCCCCTCCTGAAACTGGCGACGTTCTGCCAGAGGAGGTGGGCAGGTGGAGGAGATGCCGGCAGAGGGGGTCTCGGAGGGAGCGCGCTGGTTAAGGAGAGCGCGCTGAGAAAGTGTCACATCCAGGGCTGCGTGACCTCCAAGCGCACCCCAAACGCCGACCATCGCTTGATGTATCGCTTTATATTTCCTGCTAACGAGTGCAAACCAGACAGATCTTCGGCCCGTGGAATCCTTAGACGCGCATGGAGCAGGGTCTTCACCAGTCCTGCTGAAGCGAGGGGGCTGGAGCTGAGAGTCTCCGCCGGGAGGTTTAGGGACAGGAGCCGCGCTGGGAACGGGAAGGGCGGGCCGAGAGATGAGGCATGCGCAAAGGGCCCTGCGCGGATTACCCTTAACGCAGGGGAGGGGGAGATGCCCAGGGTCTCCCGTCCTCGCAGATGTGGCGCGGGGAGAGACTGCGTGGGGCGGGCACACTTAGTAGTCGGGATGGAGGGAGGGAGGGCAGCCCTGGGGATTGATGGATATAACCCAGGTGCTGCCTACACCGTCCTCCCCCCCCCCGCCTGCCCCGCCCCTCCTGCCCTGGTGACCGCTGAGCTGTGCAAGCGGGATTCTCGAAATTATTCGGTCAAATATTACATCAAGTTTTTGTTGGAAGTAGGGTCAAGTGATGCTAACGCCCCTGCTCCCCTGACTGTCCAGCTTTAAAAGGCTCCTAAAATGTACTTGTCACGTTTCTGCTTTGCAACAGAGCCGCTGGCCAGGAAGTCCCCAGCCCCACTCTGCCCTTCCCATTGTAGGCAGGCCTTGCAATTCCTTCCCAGCTTCCCTTCCCCCACGGCCTGAAGCTCAGGTCGGAGAGGTTTGGTAGAGAACATTAGGTATAAAGAGCTAGACTTTCTCCTTTTCAGTCATAAAAGTTACATGCCAGGGAGTTTTTGAAAGGCAATAACTTTCATGAGAAAATGCAAACCTAAGTCCCCTGCGGATTAACTAGACTGAATTATTTTGAGCAAGTTGCAGACACTGAATCTGGCATTTCCTCAGACTTGCTCGGTAGGTGGTCCTTGTCAGGGCCTGTGGTCAGTGACCGCTCCCTCCCATCCCTGCTTCTTCTGTGCACTGGGCTGAGGAAGCTTTCTTAGGAGGTTAGGCTCCCCCTGGGAAACCTTTTGATGCCCTCCCCACCCTCCCAGGGATTTGCCAAGAAACTGCTGAGAGATGGGCTCTGGGTGTGGGAGGCACAGGGGAGCTAGCCCTCTGTGAAATCTGCAGGTGGGGAAGGGCCATCCAGACAGCCACCCCCGTGGACCAAGGGAACCTGAGTGGGCAGACCTGCCCTGGGCAAGAACGGAAAGAGCCCACAGCGCCTGGGCACTTTCTCCCTGTCCCTACCCCAAACTTGGGCCTGAGAAAGAGCCTGGCACAACCAGCCCACCAGCGACCAGTGTGGGTGTGCAGGCCTGAGGAAGGTGGGGGTGGGGAAGGAGAGGTTCCTTGCGCTGTGCCTGCCTGGAAGCTCCCTGCAGCCTTGTCTGCAAACACCAGGCGTGAGTGAGTTTCCTGAGCTGTTTCCAGCAGAGGGCTCAGGGTCTCAGGGCCAGAACTGGCCAATGCACTCTGCTCAGTTAGACAAGTGCCCCTGGAAGCCAAATGCAGTGAATACGGAGGAAAGTGGTTTTCAGTACTCAGGTTGCCTTGGTCCTGAAATCCAAAGGGATTTTCAAAGATGACCCAAGAGAAGTACAAACGATTAAGGTGTGCAGAGGAAACCCACAAGATGGGCCTTTCAGGGAATGTCATTTTCTGAAACAAACAGAGGAAGAGGGTACGCTTATGAAAAAATCCCGCGATCCTGGAGTGGCGAGGCCTGGGGACCAGTGATGCCACCCGCCTAGGCACAGTAGGGTCAAGTGAGGTTGCTGCCTTTCACACGGGGCCGCAGCTCCAGTCCAGGAAGCCCTGGCTACACAAGGTTTCTCCAAAGGCATGGGCGGGGAGGTGGGGCTGGAGAATAACTTTCCAGATGGCCAAATTCTGTAAGTCCTCTTTCAAATTGATCGCCTTTCAAAATCACCTTTCTCCCACAATTCAATGAACAGAAGGCATAGCTCCCTCCCCTGGATTCTTAAGCAATCTTGACCTTTCAATGGCACCAACATAGACCCCAAATTTCACAGGTTTTGGGGAGGATCCCTTGAGAAGAAGCAAGGAGACCATGAGAAAAGGAGAAAAAAAGGCTGTTGGCTCAGGCAGTGCACCGACAGCCTGCTGTGTGCCTTACAAGTCTGTCTCAGAACTTAAATATCTCAGATTACAGGAAGGACTCAGGGCACTCTGAGTCTTCCTAGAGCTCGTCCCCGCAGCTTTCACAGCATCCTCAGCCATGGGGACGCAGTGTGATGACTGCTTTCATTTATTCATCTGGGTTTTGGTGTAATTTGTACGTTTTGGCTGATTTCAAGGAGGTGTAGGACAACAGCTCTGCATTTCTGGTGACTAGTCATCGTTCCATCGTCAAGTAAAAGGAAGGTATATTGCAGGTACGTGCTTTAGGTTTTTTATAGCATTTATTCAAGTCTTAAGACATATTTTTTCATTCACTTTTATCCACGGGTATTAGATGTGTAAAATTTAATATTTAGAGATTTGGGTCCCAGAATAAAATCTGAATGAATCTCACATATATGCATGTATATATTTTGGATGCAGACAAGTGAGACACAGTGGCCACTTAAGTGCTTATAAAGTCAAATGAATGACATTAAGACACAGTTCCGTGGGGGAAATGAAACCAAACTCTGAAGTCGAATATCAAAAGGAACACAGGAAATGACTTGGAGCTCGTATTTTTTTAAAATATAGGTTCGAGTGTTAAATCATCATAGTATTTAGAATCTGTCGTCTCCATTGGAAAGAGCTTTATAATACTATTATTTTTACACGTAAACTTTAAAATGCATCAGAGATTTCATCCTTTGCCACAATTTAAATTTATGGTGAAAACTCTTTTGACGTGCAGTGTAGAATCATGACGGGACATGCAGAACTTCAAAACCTCTTTTTGGGGTCTGGAAGCATACATGCCCTTGAGGAGAATCGAGCCAGGAGAGAGCATTTGCCCTCATCTGACATTTGGCTCCGTGGAATTGTCCTGTCGTTGGTTTATCAGTCAGCAGGGAATGAATGGGCCCCGCTGTGTCCCAGCATGTCCCCTGGGGGGTTTGGCTCCGTGACTGAAGGTACCTGTCTTCTGAGTTGTGCTGATGCTCACCTACTTGATTTTAAGCTGACCCAGTAAAGGAAGAAGATGGTTTATTCTGACTCGGAAAACAAAGAATTTGATTCAGCTTCTGCATCCAATCATGTGTCACTAAATGGAAATGATGACATGGTGGAGAAAAATCAGGAAACAGTAAGTTGATGCCTGAAAACCACTAACTGCGTGGACACGAGCTGTGTCCATCTGAGGGCTGCCGGTGCAGACAGCGACGCCCTGGCTGCCCGGGGCTGCCTGCTGCCACATCTCTCCTGGGCAGGATGTGGGTGCAAATGCTCTCAAGGAACTCATGCTGCTTGGGCCCTTCTTGCAGCCAGATGTAGCCACTGTTTTGCTTTAGCTGATGCTGGTTGGGATTGGATTTTGTTCTGGGAAAGCAGGCAGGATGCTGAATGGCTGGTGTAGGAATTGGTCCCGCGCAATGGGTCCAAGGAGCCCTGTGTTCTCACGTGCGTACGTCATGATTCGGTCTCCAGCGCAAAACTCTGAGGTGTCCCTGTGACCCCCCCCCTCACCGTGAAGCCACCTGACAGCTTTCTTCCCAAAATCACGTCACGTGTTTGCGGGAAGCAAACTTGGCCTCGGGAATCAGCGCAACCCGAATCTGATCCGAGTGCTGCCACTTTCCACTTTATGAGCTTGGGTGGTTGTTTCTCCCTTTAGATGCCTGGCTTCTCATCTCTAAAGTGGGGAAGGTTTTAGGATTTAGTTTGTGCGGCTTTGGGAGGACTCGGGTAGAGGCTGGGCGCTTAGAAAGAGCTCTGTTTCTTGCTGTCACGTGTTGTAAAGCTGTAGCTCTTCAGCCCTTCCTAGCTGACTCCATGTTCTTAATCAGTGTGTAACACTGTTTTAGACTATATTAGAAAGCACGGTGAAGGGCGTAGAAAACTGAGAAGGACGCGCACTTTGCACCCCCGACGTAACTGTCGTCTCCTGCCTGGCCGTGCCGGGTGGGTCCCAGGGCAGTCGGAACCGCCCGGCCCACACTCAGGCATCTGGGTGTAGCTGGGCCTCCTCCAGCCGCTAGAGCAGGTGTGTCCTGGGAGCAGCAGCCCCACTTCTAGGTGCAGAGCTTGGTCCTCAGAGTGTGGCCCCCAGACCTGCAGCATCAGAGTCCCCGGGGAAGCTCGGAGTATAAATGAGCACCCTCACACATTCTGCCCCCGGACCTAGTGAACTAGACATTTCCGAGGCGGGGCCCGCCATCTATGCTTTACCAGACCCTCCTGTGGATTCTCCTTTGTGCTAAAGTTTGAGCAGCACTTTGCCATGTTCATACAGCGTCGGGTATGCACGAACCCGGAGTCCACCCCAGCGGCCCCGGGGCGATGTGTGCACAGGTCAGCCCGCCCCTGCGGCAGGGTTCCCAGGAGCGGTGCGGGGACTCAGCCGGCGTCCCGGCGACCAGGGTGGCTGAGTCTAACCACCGACGGTGAACCCTAGAAGCACGTCCCAGAAGAGATATACTCTGTGATCCCACTTATATGAGGTTCCCCAGCAGGCAACCATGAGCCACGTACTGCTCAGGGAAGGATGGACTGGGGGTGAGAGCTGCGCTGAGGAGCAGGAAGGAGGTTCTCACAAGCCCGAGAGCAGAGCGCCCCCTGGGGGTGAAGGGGATTCAGGAGGAAGGGGGCCTGGGGAGGGGAGGTGGAGAGTCCTCAGCGCTGGGAATGCCTGCTTTCTCAAGCCAGAGGGCTGGTACATGCATTTTTGCCAGTTCTCACTCATGTGTTATAAACTCTTGTGAATGGGCGGCACAGAAATGAAAGGAAAGGCCCCCACGAGGAGGACTGGGGCTGAGGCCACTGGTGAGTGTAAAGTTTCAGCCAGGTTTCTGCGGAGAGGCCATGGGCAGCTGGGCCCTAGTCCTTTCTTAAGTGTTGTTACTGAGAACAGCTGTAGAGGGCACTTGCTACAAATGGCAAAGAGGACGGTATTCACCTGTATTGCCATAGGGGAGAAAGACTGAGCTCGCCGTGGATACCAGGACAAGTCGGGGGTGGGGGCAGTGCACA